CCACAAGGGCCGCCAAAAACGTGTCGAACAGCGCGCTAGCTAGTCAATAGCTCGCCGGCGGCGACTAAACCAGCCGCCCACTGCACTACACACCATGCATGGCCGTGACCGTGAGCACGCGCACGGCGGCCGCTGCTGTGCTAAAACTCTCACTTTGCTCAGCTCGCGGCCACATGTACGACGCACGGAGGCTCCAGAGCGAACACGCGCGCGATTCAACCACACCACTCCGAAAAGTCCTTATCGCTAACAAGCATGGGGGTTTGTCGAAGCTTGCATCGCACATAACATAGCAAACTGTTCGTAGGCAAAAAATACAGATCAACAAGACATGAAGAAGGCCATTCTTCCACTAGGAATCGTACTTGTGGTTGGCGTGTTGCTTGCGCCAGTGGGGGTGGGGGAGAGCCGTGCTGCTCGGAAGGGCCTTGGCATCAACCTTGGGAATGGTCTTGGGATCGGAGTCGGGATCGGTCAAGGTGCAGGCGTTGGTGCCGGGGGTTCTGGCTCTGGTTCAGCATCAGTGTCTGGCTCTAACTCAGGGTCAGGGTCTGGCTCGGGCTCTGGATCAGGATCAGGAGGTCCGGGTCTTGGGCTTGGTGTTGGGGTCGGTATAGGTCTAGGTGGCAGTGGCTCTGGTTCAGGATCTGGATCAGGCTCATCATCTGCGTCTAGTTCAGGCTCTGGATCAGCATCAGCTTCTGGTTCAGGCTCAGGCTCAGGCTCAGGAGGGGGGCTTGGGCTTGGACTCCGTGCTGGAGTTGGTATTGAATTAGGGTATGTTTCGATTCAGGCACTATAAAGTTTAAGAGATGTCATATAGGGATGTCGCATGGGGTGTTTGGATACTAATAAAAAAACAAACTATAGAATCCACAGAATCCGCGAGACTAATTTATTAAACCTAATTAATCCATTATTAGCACATATTTACTGTGGCACCATATTGTTAAATCATGGACTAATTAGGCTTAAAAAATTCGTCTCGTAAAACAATCTCAATCTGTGCATTTAGTTTCATAAATAGTCTATATTTAATACTCTATGCATGTGTCCAACATCCCTCCATACATATGTCCAAACATTCGATAGGAGAGCAAATAAAATTTAGGAGGTGAAACCCCTAAAGGCCAAATCAGCGTCGGGGTCCTCCGGAAGTAGTTCAAGTGCCGGATCAGTGCTTCATCATCTGCAGGTTCTGTTTCAGGCTCCGATGGCAGTTCACACGCTGTGTCCAGTGCAGGATCAAGTGCCGGGTCTAGTGCAAGATCAAGCGTAGGCCGTAGTGTCTAGCGCTGGATGCCTGGATCTCGAAGTGGGCAAGATCACCACTGATATATGCATGTGTGTGTTACTACCTTGAAGACCTGTTTCTCTAATAATCATTATCATCTCTGGATTAGCTTATAGGAAGATATAAACAACAATTGCAGTTAGGTTTTATGTATTGTACTGATCCGATGACATGTTTACTTGTTGGTTCTGTGGACGTTTTATATGTACGTTTAGATGAAGGGATGCTGTACGAGACCTGAGTTTACGTTCGTTCTATTTCCCTGAATATATAAGTTGTGTTCAGACTTCAGATACATCAGTTAGCTATTAGTATACCATGTTATCAGCTACGAAGTTATAGATTGCGTTGATTTCCACAATTCATCTTCTTTTGTGAATTGAGCGTTGGTTGATCTTATGGTGAAACTAGGCAACGTGCTCATCAACAGCAACTCAATCTCAATCTTTTAGTGATTCGTAAAATAAATTATCTACATCTAACTTCATATTCATATATAGAAAAGTTATCATTTCCTTTTGAGTTAAATGCATGAGAGGTCCTTAAACTTATCAGTGTGTGTCACTTAGATCCCTAGATTTTGAAAACGTATTTCTGGATACATAAACCTGTAAACTAATACACCACAGGTCCATATTTGCCATGCGGCGTTGCCACATGGCGGGGAAATATGCACGGAACCCCTGGAAACCTATCCGGTATAGCGTTGACTCGGTGCCCAGACCCACGCCTCAGCTGTATGACAGTATGATGCTCCTTCTCCAATCAGCCGCTCAAACGCCACTGCATCAAACGCCACTGCAGCAAGCACCGCGGCCCTATCACCGTCACCCGGAGCTCCGCTCCCGCTTCCGCACGCCATGGTGGTGCACCGCGTCCTGAGGTTAGAGGCGGCGCACATCATGCGCAGCAGCAGATGCAGAGGAGCGCGTGCACACCGCCGTGGAACCCCGGCCTCATTTGCTCCACGGCCACCTTCACCGGCTCGGGAACACTCACCCAGACCGCCTGGGTGTAGGAGTACGGAGGCAGGTCGACTCGACGCTGTTGGACAGCTGGTCATTCGATCTCCATATCCGGTCAAAACCTTACCCGTTCCGTCGTTAGATCTCCATGATGACGATGCAGTTTCATCACCATAGCCATGGCCTTCGCCTTGTTGGAGGATGTTGATCTCGTTGATGTCATCAACTCTGGTGCAGTACGCCATCCTCAACGAGAGATCGAGCTGCTACATCAAGTAGCTGACGCCTTGGTGCATGTACACGGCGCCTTCCGCCTTTGTGCACCTGGAAGAAAGCCTTGCTCTCCTCGAGCACCTGACAGCGCATGTCGTTGAGGAACCCGAGCACGTCCTGGCCTGACGCGCCCCGGAGCAGGAGGGAAGCGAGTACGTGCGGCAGTGGTGCGGGTCCCGGGTTGAGGAGGAGGGGCGGCATCCAACGGAGGATGTTCGCGGAGGCGGAGGGCTGGCCGGCGCGACAGAGCAAGGAGGTGAGGATGCAGAACGTGGCGGCGTTGGGGGCCGCGTGTGGCGCGTGCGTGACGCGGAGAAGCACGGCGGGGGCGGCACGGAAGATCTCGGGTCAGCCTTCCCCTCGCGGCTCCGTTCGTTATAACCCCCGCACGCACAGGGCAAAGCAGGGGGACCGGACGACGGACGACGACGATGTGGGGCTCCTCGGGCGCGCGCATGATCGTGCAGGACGCGGCGGAGGACCTCCATCTGGGCCGCGCCAAGCCTGGTGGACGCCGCCGGTGCTGGCCCTCCCCGACAGGGCCGTCGTGGCGGGGGTGCCGGCCAGGGTCATCGCTGACCAGGGCGAGCGCGCACTGTTCCGCTCTGACGTGCTCCCCTTCGCCCAGGTGGCGGAGCAGGTGAACATCGCTGTCGCTGGCGGGCAAGATCCCCTCGGGCGCCTTCAACGCCATGTTCGACTACCGTGGATGCTGCCGCCGCGCCGCCGCCGCCACGCACAGCCTCTGCTTCGACGCCCGCCTCGTTGAGCTCTACAGCGTCGAGGCCGTGTGCGCGCACCTCGTGGTCAAGAACCGAGTCAGGACCTCCCGCCCTTCTGGGATCCCCCGCGCTCACCAAGTACGTATGGATCGTCCCAGCAGCGGTGACACGCAGCGCAGCAAAGCCGCCGTGGCAATGGAGGGGAGGTGGCGCTCCTCCGTCAACTGGATGCCACCGCGCACGTGCCGGCGAGGTTGGTGCTCTTTGTCGCGTCGTTGATGGAGCGTAGCCGCCCTGTGACTCCTCGACAGACGCCAGGAAGAAGGGATGATGGGCAGAGCAGGGTTGCAGGACTGCGTGTTGAGGGGATGGGGTTTTAGGGGGTTCGGTGCATATTTTATCCGCCACGTGGCAACGGCATGTCAGATAAAATGTCCGCATGGTAAGTATGACCTGCGGTGTATCAGTTTATAAGTTTAGATACCTAAAATGCATTTTCAAAGTTCCGAGACCTATACCCCGTGACAAGTTTAAAGACCTTTCATGCATTTAACTCTTTCCTTTTTATATATAAGAGAAGGGAAGAGAAACCGAGGAAAGAAAATAAAGACCACCTGCCATTCGACTGGCAAGCCGACCACCGGAAGTTGTTGCATTGGACTTTTTCGCCAAGAGCAAATAGAGGGCAATAATAGACTTTACTTATAATCACTTTGATCTACTTATGTTCTCGTTCCTTTTTTTTACAGCAATTAGCTGAAAATTTTGTAAGAACTTGGTTGTGTGCGCTTGTAGAGGGCCGAATTTTTTTTCCATTATCTAAAAAAAAATCTCCAATGCCACATCACTAAAACTACATGAGAAGCTGCTTTTAGATTGTCAAGATAGGTATTTTGTTGGGTTTATTTAATTGGAGGACTAACATTTCTAGTATTCGAGTTCAGGCCTCGAAGGATCTTTTTTTTTAATGTTCTTTTAGTAAGAAAAAAAGGGGATTGATAACCCTCTGCAGGTCAACTGGAAATTGACACTGTACGAATAAGGGATATCGATCGAAGGCGTCAACGCTGCGGTTGATATATAGCACGAAGCAGGAAGAAGAACAGGACTAGGTTTTGATAAGGCTAACAAGTAAGCTTCCACTACTAATCATACATGGATCAAAAGCAAGAGCTTCCAGATTCTTCCAGTGGCCTGTTCCATCACAACCTCTCAAAGCACCAGTGCTTTTCCTATAGTGTCAGGCCCATGTCCTTTTGCACCGTCCTTACTCCACTACTGCGTTGTACGCTCTAACAAGATACCAAGAGCACCACTCCGAAATTCAGCCGTCCAATGGCCACAGCACCACAAGTTTCGTGCCACCAATAAGCCAGGAACTATTTGTGAAACCCTGCTTTTGGGTCCTATAAATGCCACAGCTTGCTGCGTCTCGAGCAGCAGGAAAGACCAGGAGTTGAAAGGAGACATACATAGCATATACTCCTGCGTAATATTTGCACCTCTACGTTTGGGCAGCAGGACCTGTCCCAAGACCAGGATTTTCATTTTTAATGACAAATTGTTCTGTGGCGGTGGGACGAATGAGAAAGCGTTGAAATGACTGTTTCATCGCGCCTCTGCCATGTTCCAAGATTATACTGCTTTGCCTTTGAACATACCTGAATACACCTGAATCCATAGAAAGGAACACAATCTGTACAGGTGCATTATTGTTCCGGCTTCTCCTAGAGGAATTCTAGGATGATGTCTCGACCTCCGATCACGACCATTTTCCTTGGCATCACCATCATCGTGCTGGCTGCCCTTGCTCTCACATCCGAGGGCCGCATTTCTCGAATGGACCTGAGCATCGACCTCGGTGGTGGCGGCGGCGCAGGCATTGGGATCGGTACTGGGATTAGCATCGGCATAGGTGGTGGTGGTGCCGCTGGCTCTGGCTCTGGCTCAGCGTCCGGGTCGGGATCAGGCTCTGGCTCGGCCTCAGGTTCCGGGTCCGGTGCCGGTTCATCGGCGGGATCCCGTGCGGGCTCTGGCGCCGGCTCTGGTGCGGGGTCAGGAGCTGGTTCCGGCACGGGTTCAGGTTCAGGTTCAGGTTATGGTTATGGTCAAGGGCAAGGTGCAGGTGAAGGTGAAGGTGAAGGTCACGGCCAAGGATCTGGGTATGGCGAAGGGCATGGGTCGGGCCAGGGCCAGGGTTCCGGGTCTGGCTCGGGATACGGTGAAGGATATGGCGAAGGGCATGGTCATGGAAGTGGCTCCGGTCGAGGATCTGGCTATGGCGAAGGTTCCGGCTCTGGCTCCGGCCAAGGATCAGGATCCGGCTAGGGTGAAGGTTACAGCTCTGGCTCGGGCTCCGGTCATGGCCAAGGCTCTGGATACGGTGAGGGTTCAGGAAGTGGATACGGAGCTGGTACAGGCTCAGGCTACGGCGAGGGACACGGCTACGGCTACGGCTCTGGTTCTGGAAATGGCAAATAAAGATGGTGAACAATGGCTCCCTCACCAGTGTGTGATTGCCACTGTCAGTTCTCTGAGCTCTGATGTCCTCTTTCTGTGTATCCGTATACATAAATATAAGTATGTACACGCAATAAACTATGGATAAAAAATTGTACTGTACGCTCTTGTTCACCATACATGTAAATCTGAGCAGTTGCCACGCCACTCTTATATCTTTGGCAATGTCTAACTTTTTCCTGGCGTAATCCAGATAGTTAACTGTGTCTTGGAAACATTTCTGTAACAGCCTCTGTTATCACCTCACGAGCTTTATCGTCTCAAGCCATTTTGTCAATGCCAGCAACGTGGGCATCATAAAAATCTTTCATTTGTGACCCCATGCAGCGTTTTCAAGCTCATGTTTTGTATGAATACTGAGCGAGGGAAACATGCCTTTGCTATGCACTTCCAACAAAGCTCCAAAACTCATCTTTGCTTTAGCAACTTGCTTCCAAATCTCAAAATAGAGACCATCCAATCCCCTGTGAGAATGATCAAACTCCATGCTACGAATATCTTCCCAGAAACCGTAGCTAACTAGAAGTGGGGAAACATTGGGGAAACCTGCTGCAATCTCCAGCGCTTGAATATAAACCACATCTTCGACTCTATACCACCATCTTCCGTATAATCTTCAATCCACTTAGTCTCATTTGCTAACACTTCACAGTACTGGACATATGACAGATCTTCTTCGTAGGTAATATTAAGAGTTGGAAACGCTCCCAATCCAAGTACTTACCATAAGGGCGTGTGTAGGATCTCTGGTCGGTTTAGAGGAGGAGTGAATAGCCATGTCAAAACAAACACTCAAACTTTTATCAAATTCACCCAGCGGCACTGTCGCTCTGGAGGGCGGCACTGCCGGACTGCGGCACTGCCGGGCTAGAACAACGGCACTGCCGCACCTGCAGATAACTTCAAATCACAGTTCAAAATCCATGAACGAAAACTTAGATCGGAAAAAATTTCGAGCTTACTGCATGTATGACAATCACAGATCAAGAGCTAGAAGTGGTAGAAACACCACACACAAGTAGATCGACTAGAAACCCTAGTAATCACCTCAACCACAGTATGTCATGCAAGTAATATAAATCAAGCACAAGTGACGCAATGATTTATCCCGTGGTTCGACTTGCCTACCTCCACGTTGTTGAGGTTAGCCACTAAGGCTTAGGGTTTTTCAACCCTTCCTTGTTCTCAAGTCAAGAGGCTTAACTCTTGAGATGAGAGGTGAGTTTACTAGCTTTAAGAGATGGTTACAAACCTCCCGGAACTGTCACACAAGTTGGCGAGCTCCACGGGCGACGCTCTAGCTAGCTAGGAGCCAAGTTTTAAGAATAACAAACACAACCGCCGGCCAAAACGTGAACCAAGTGCTCTTTAGAGTTGGAGAATCAATGAAGCTGCTCTCTAATCGAGTTTTGGACCCTTTTCCTTCAAGGATTGATGGGGAAATCAATAGATTTGTTTGGGGGCTTGAGGTCAACAATGGAGGGAGAGATAGAGAGCTCCAACTCTGTTTTGGACGTGCTGAAGTGAGGAAGAAGAGACAGAGTACCGTTGGAAAGGAAGAGCAATGGTATAAATACCCCCAGCCCCAATGGTCACTTAAGTCGCGGTAGTGCCGCGGCTCAAGTGCGGTAGTGCCGCACTGCGGCAGTGCCTCTCTTCAAGTGCGACAATGTCGTACCATGCAAGACAGCAAGGGTAAGAGTGAAGTGTAGATTGTCTTGGCTGTAAATCTAAGGATGCATGTGTATGTTTGAGCACTTGGTAGCACATATTAGCTTAAGCATTGTGTCCCCCTTTATAGTACGGCTTTTTCTATACTCAAATTTAAAATATAAAAGAATTTAAACCTCCTTTGAGTTTGAAGCCATCTACATTTGTAATTGATGGCTCCTCCGTTTCGTGTAGCATCCTCGAACATGAACTCACTACTTGTTATCTCGATAAATCTCATTAGTTCTCTAATTGTGTGGTCATTATCACCAAGACTCATAATTAGGGCTTGATTGTACTTTCAATCTCCCCTTTTTGATGATTGATGACAACCCAATTAGAGCTTACAAAAAGATATGAAATAAATACTGAGATTTTTTAGCCTTGGGTGTAGAGCCTCCCTCTAAATATGTGAATAGAGAATTGAATTCTCAAATTAGTATAAAAAGCCAAGATTCATATTTTAGTGAAAGTAATGGGGCTCCCCCTACATCCATGCTCCTGTGGGGTGCTGCATACTGTGTCAGGTATGTAAAACGTGATGCAAATGACAGTTTATGCACAACATGGTTTGTTGTTGCAGCTGGGTGCGGCACTGCCGCACTTGCTGTAACAGCACAGATTAGAACAGACACCACACATCATGTGATACATATAAAGATATACATTCTAGCACAATTGTATCACAAGCGACAGCATAGATTAATATATGTCCATATCCCACACATATAAAAAGTATTTAAGTAGCATTATTACATAAATAGAGTTTCTAATGAACTCTCAAATTCTTACTTAACGAAGACTACTCTAAACGGATACGAACATAACTCTAGCTGCAGCAATCTTCATGGCGTCGAAAAAGTTGTTGACCCCTCTAATTTTCTCCTCTTTGACATAAAGCACCAAAAAGAGAAGAAAAGAAGAAAGATCAACACTCACTTCTCATCCTCTTGGATGGTGTCCCAATCGACATCATTGCCACCAGCAGCTGCACTAGCACCTACGACGTCCTCCTCTTCACCATCATCATCATCGTCGTTGTTGTTGGAGGAAGAAGACACCACCGCCCTTCCTTGACGATGAGTGGTCGAAATGTGGCGCTCACGCCTGGTGCTCCTCCTCATGGACTGCAAGGTGGATATCAAACTGGTGTGTGGATCAAGCTCTAGCTACTCCTGCTCTTCCTCCTCCTCATTCTCTAAATCTATCTCAGAAAGATTAGGGAGGCCAACAAACCTCGGCGTTGACTGAACTGGAGAAAGAGGTTGCAGCCCTGCACGCTCTCTAGCCTCCCGGTTGGCTTCATGGTTCTACAACCAGCCCTGATATGCGGTCCTCGCTGCATAAGTGCATGTGGTGAAGATGGTCTTGATCCACTTCTCAAATTTCTCCATCTTCTTTTCCTTGTGAGGCCTTGAGCGGGACGCCTCAGGCACGTCCTCAACTGATGGAGAGCGTCTCACTGCCCTACTAGCACTTGCCCCTTGGGTCTTCTCAATTTTGTAGATGGTGTGAAGACCATCTTTCTCAAATCTGTAGCTAGAGACCCTCTCAATCATAAACATGAGATATGGGGCATAGGGTATCACCTTTCTCCCATCCTCCATGGCGTTCCTTAGCTCATGCCACATGAAGCGAGGGACATTAAACCTGTCACCTCTAGGAGCAAATCTAGCAAGCACATTCCTCACATAGCCATTAAGATCTGAGGCTGCTCCATCCTTGGGATTGATAGTGTCCTAATCAAATTGCTTAGAATATAATAATAGCTCTTTAGGCCACTGACTTTTCCATCTGCACTTCTCCTGTCAATCCACATATAGGCAATATCACGGATCTTAGCTCTAGCATCATCATGAATATAAGTGAAGCCCCGCTCCTCCTCTCTAAAACCAAGGATCCAGCTAAAAGGCACAAAATCAACTCTATAATGCCATCCCTCAGTCATCCAGTGAATCTCATTAGTGTAGATGCTATAGAAGAAAGTGGCATGGAACTGGGCTAGCACTTTCTCATTTCAATTATATCTGAAGCCCATAATATCAGTGAGGCCAAACAACTCACAAGCCTTGATCACCTTATTGAATTATGGCTCATTCTTTGCCTTCATCTCCTCCCAATCAACATACTGCATCTTGACAACTTTGGATTTCTTGGAGTTGAAGTTCACAGATGCATATAAGTTGGAATGAAACTCATTCCAAAACCTGTAATCTATCTCCAAATCCTTTGGCTGCTCATAGGGATTGTTCTCACGTATTTCCTCCACCATCTTCAGCTTTTCCGCATAGTTGAGCATGGGATGAGCACATGTGTCAACAGGATGCCTCATGACTAAATCCTTAGAATACTCTCTGATGTAGCTCCTGTCAAACTCCTCAAGATGAGGTGGAGTATCTTGGCAAGCACCTGGAGGAATAGTGTGTCAAGCCCTTTTCAAGTTCTCCTCATCCTAGATCATCTGATTTCTCCTCCCCTGTCTCTGGCAACATCTCTACCTGTTGCACTGCTGTTGCCCCCTGTGGTCCTGCCACGACCATGATGAGGCATTTCTTGTCCCAAGGCTCTGTAATCTTCCTCTTCCCCCTCCGGTCATCATCACCTCCGAAGGCCATCCTAGTTTTCACGGATTGAGGAGAAAAGAGATGAATCGACTCCGTCCACGAGCTAGGGCTACTGCTGATGACGACATAGAAGAACAGCAATAGGCCGCGGTAATGCTAGAGGTGGCAGTGTGGCTGGACAGAGGCGCGGCAGTGACGTGCATGTGCGAGAGGAGAGGCGGCGGCTACAGTCGGGATAAGGGAGAGAGTTACCTTGGGGGCCAGGGAAATAAGAGGTAAGATGGGCCCCAATGGTAATTGCTGTCGTGGGCCGAATTTTAGTTAAAATTCAAAGTGTGCACTATAAGTAGTCCACACGAGGCACCGAGTAGAGGGCAAGCACACCGCACTTTTCAAATCTGACAAATTTAGCTACTAACTAAATACCTCTATATATATATATGATATGGACACATATCTCAAGCACATTATGATTAGCAACAAATAATCAATACAAACAATGATCATAATGCACTTATTTCTTATGATAAAATA